TAGTAAACTGGTTTATGTTGCTTTCCTTCTTCTCTTACTAATACAGAACTGATTGCTTCGTGTGAGATACCGAGGTACAGGTAAAGGATCTCCCAATCAACAGCTTTCGTGAACAACAGTTGTGAGTTAAGGTAAGACTTAAGCTCATTGAATGCAGCTTGGCATTTTGAATTACAGTTGTGATTCCCACAGCTTGATCAAATGAGCTAACCTCAAAAGTTGCATCATTGAATCTACTCATATAGTTTTTCAATAGCTCCCTCTCCCTTTGTATAACTCGCATAAGTTCAGGTGTAGTTTTCTTGATTAACCTCCTACTGGAGAACTTCGTAGCAAAACAGACGTCATCTCTGTATAAGAGCTGATAGTTTTCGAGGGTAAACTATAGTACCAAGTTCGAGCATTACCTCAGAGAGTAGAAGGAAAGATTTTGCACATCAAGGCATCAAAGGCATTGAACCCAGGCGTGTTGGGTTCCTTGGAACCCAGGCGTGTTGGGTTCCTTGGAACCCAACTACTGGGTTCGAAGGGGAAAGAAAAGGGGAAGGGGAAAGAGAAAGGGAAAGAGAAGGAAAAAGAAACAAAAAAAAGAATTTTCTAAGTTTTATTTAATTTTTTTATATTATTATTTTTCCATGTCATTACTTTTTTTGTCATATTGTCTTCCACGTGTATTAATATGTGACATGTCATCTTGAAACAGTGAAGTAACATTCTAAGTAATCAAATTTTTAACGGAAGGACTAAATCAGGGTAAAAATGGTAAATAGTGAGGACTAAATCAGGGATTTTTTGAGTTTAAGGATCAAATCGGAGGTCCGTACAATAGTTCAGGGACCAAAATGGGGTTTTAACCTAAGTAAATAATCAGTTTTCTAGCTTCATTTAGATTCAATGATACTATTGAACTTTATAATGCATATTGATTTTGCTACATTTGAGATAGACAAATTTGATAGCTTCTTGTGGTTTTTCTTCCCAACTTTGCGCATGTTAGGCAATTAGGTTAGTTGAAGAATGCTACTTGCTCAATTGCTTGTGGTTTTTTGGTTCATTTGTTATACTGCTAATAAGGTTATTGCCACCATTGTTTAGGCTTAAAATTGAGTGAATGTAGCTCTATGCCTGTGTCCTACATTGCTAAAGAGGGGATTGAAAGACTTTTGAATCTGAATTAATGCCAACTTGGCATTTTTGGCATTGCAGCCCATCAGCTCCATCTTTGAGTTTCTCTAGATACCTTATATCATGAAATTTGATGTCTACAATTAATATAATTCAATTTTCAGGTCCTTAAGTAGAATGCGAAAAAGTAGATGTTATTTTATTACTCTCTCTGTTTGACTTTATTTGTTGTTTTAGACTGTTGCACAGGTTTTGAGAAAATGATTAATTATCTTTAATTTTAATGTTAAATAAAATTAAAATACCATTTTACCCTTTTCCTCACCCTTTTCTTCTACCGTAAAACTCCATTTATTGTTTCACTTTCTCTTTTATCTTCTTTTTCATTTGTGGGTTCGTTGGTTGGAAAAACTTGTCTTCAACTCCAACCTTCATTCCAATTCAATTTCACTTTATTTTCATTCTAATACCACAAAAATTTCCAAACTAGGTACAAAACTTGGTTTTACCTTTGACAGAGTTACATGTATTTTTGTTTTTTTCTTTTCTACTTCCGGCAAACTACCCAAATGGCCAAACCACAAACCCAGAGGCTAGAACCCTTTATAATGAAAAATTCTCTACCTCTATCCTTTGTTTCCAATTTCCTAATTTATCCCCTTTCTTTGTATTGCAAAAGCAACAGCTTAAAATTAGTATAGCATGAAATTTTCACTTTTGCAATTTTTCCTCTACAAAAACTTGTGGGTATTGCATGTTTATTTTCACCCAATCCAAGATCTGCTGGTATTGCTTGCTTGTTTAGCCATTTAGAAGAGTTTTCCAAAATTTGTAAGCCCAAAAAGTATAGTATACGAAACAGAGGAAGGTAGAGAGGTCCTTTTTTTTTTACTCCTTTTTAGACTGTCATTAACTTAGAGTCACTAAACTTTTATTGGAGGGTAAAAGTGAAAGATAAATTAAAGAAATCTTGATTTGCACAAAACGACAAATAAATAGGAATAAAAATTTATCTCTAAAACGTCTAATATAGTGGAACAGAGGGAGTACTTTTAGATTATGAAATACTACCTTTGTTCCACTTTATTTGTCATTTTAGGGATAAATTTTTGTTTCAATTTATTTGTCATTTTGTGCAAATCAAAAAATTTTTAATTTATTTTTCCACTTTTACCCCTCTAATAAAAGTTTAATGACTTCAAGTTATGTCATTTTGAAAAGAAAAGAAAAAAAAAAAAAAGCTCTTTGCCTTCCGCCATTTCGTATACTGCACTTTTTGGGCTTATAAATTTTGGAAAACTCTTCAAAATGGCTAAACAAGCAAGCAATACTAACGGATCTTGGATTTGATCTAAACAAACATGCAATATCACAAGTTTTTGTATAGGAAAAAATTGCAGAAGTAAAAATTTCTTCCTATACTAATTTTGGGCAATTGCTCTTGCAATACAAAGGTAGGGGATAGATTAGAAAATTGGAAACAAAGGATAGAGGTAGAGAACTTTTCATTATAAGGGGTTCTAGCCTCTGGGTTTTTAGTTCGGCCATTTAGGTATTTTGCTGGAGGTAGAAAAGAAAAAGAAAAAACAAAAAAACATGTAACTTTGTCTAAGAAGGGTAGAACCAAGCTTTGTATCTAGTTTGGGAATTTTGGCGTTATTAGAATGAAAATAAAACGAAATTGAATTAGAATGAAGGTTGGAACTGCGGACAAGTTTTTCTAGCCAATGAACCCACAAATGAAAAGAGAAGG